TGTGTTCATTCAGCTCTACACCTTGCTATCTCAGATTCTCCAGCATCTGCAGTTCCTACTATCTCTGAAACGACTTTCTTGATATGTAAGCTACCTCTTCTCACTGGAAAAACTTGCTCGGCATTGGGTGAGTTCAGCATCGTCATTCCTAACCAAAACTACATTAAGGAAGCGATTATTTCAACAATCAACCTTTATGATTGCCACAATTATAGTGTTCTCTTTTATGATACCAACTGGTCTCGTACAGTAGTTTTTTTTAAAAAAAACTATTCTCAGTAAAAATTGTTTTTAAAAATCAGGAGCTAATGTTCCTTGCAAGATTTAGAGAATCAATTACCATTATTGAATAATACAATTGTCCGTGTTACATCTGTCTGATAAATTGGGATGATGTTTTGCCCTTTGTTTGACAGCCTCCTACTGTAGATTGGAATTTATTGCTTTATACTACTGGGCAATCTTGCCCCTGTAGTAATTCCTGTTGATATGATTCTTTTACAGTCAGAGCCAGATGGATTTTCTCACTTTCACTTGTATGTCTGTGCTGCTTTCCTCATTAAATGGAGAAAGGAAATTTTGGAAGAAGACGACTTTCAAGTGAGTAACAAAATATATGTTATGTATATTAGATTCTCCATATCTGGCTGTTGCTAATCTGCTTAAAACTGAGGATACTATAATCAAATTTCCATTCAAAATGAATAATATCTTTTTGAAGCAAATGATCCATAGAAAGCAAGTGATCCATAAGGTGTCATCCTTGTTTAAGTGACAGCAACTTTGCCTATGGATTAGAAAATTAGCGGTTCGATCCTCCTCCGGCGATTTCAGCAGAAGCTGGGTACTTTACTACAATGTTGAAGGAGGAATTTCATGAGGGTGGCCCTGTTTGCTGTCTTCAGTAGATGTAAAAAATGACGTGATAATATTCAAAGAAGAGCAGGTATTTCCCGGTGACCTGAAGTGTTATCATCTCTCAAACAAAACCAGTGAAGCAGATTGAGATCATTTATCTCATTACCATTTGCGGATCACACAATGTTTCATTACATTGCAATGTTGATTGCGCTTCACAAATATTTGTTGACTTGAAAGTACTTTGGAATACCTGAGGTTGTGAAAGTTGCTCATTCCTTCTTTCTTCCTGATTAAACAGCAGTCCAGTTCAAATCCATTATATTCTGTTCCATATTTTCAAGGGAAACAATTCCTGTTCTTTAGTTTTTTAATGTCTCCCTTTGTTATAAAGTATTAACAAATGCATTGAAAAACCAAAGGTAAGTCATATTCCACAGAAGGAGTTGCAAATCCATGATAACAAATAGGAGCATTCAAGGTTGCCATGTTCATTTCAAAACTCTAACAAAATATCAGCTCAGTCAATGTCTTCTCACACTGCCTCAACTAATAGTTGTGGATTCTGTTGTTCTAGGGAATTCATAATACCAATCAATACCAGTTCCCTGCTTCATCTGGTTTCAGTGTTATCTAAAGCTTAGGCAGTTGTCCATGAAGACTTTCAATTTAGATTTGGGCTTGCTACAATAACAAGATTAAATAATAATTGATGATATCTGCCGTAAGATATAAGACCTTGCAGTATGATATAATTAGTCTTATTAATCTTGAAATTTATACTTACATACAATCACCCAGTTTCAAGTCTTTTGTCATTTTACAAATTAAATCACTTTTCTCAAAATGTAACCGTCAGCAATAGCTCTATTCATCAAGTCTTAAGGCAATAAATCTCTCCTCCAAGTTGATCAAATGCTTTGACTTTAATCAGAAAAAGAATCTATATTACCTCTGATTTATTAACAAACATGAGTTACCGCAAACAAGAACTACCATGTAGAAAAGTTTGATTTTTACAACTAGGACCTTTTTCAGTAAAGTTTCAGAGTAAATAAGACAGACAAGTCTGCGCTCAAATTGTGGGCAAAGGTATCAGTGACTTCAGGCTGTAAGGACTGTAAGTGGTATCACCGTCTTAGACAGCAAAGCAGAAATGATCTATCAACATCAGCTATAATATCATACTAACGACAGCGTGATGAGCACTTTGTCCATTGTTTAACTTCAAAATATGTATTATCGTTTCAATCAAGTGGAAATACTGACTTAATGAAGACTGTTATGATTACAAAGCAATGTTTTCTAGAGATTTGAAACAGTGAGGCAAGGGTTTTAATAATCGAGCAACATGAATCTTTCATTGTTTTTATTAGACAAATATATACCTATATTGTTATTCATTGTGCAGTTTGTCAGTAGTAACAACTTGCATCTATGTAGTGCCTTTAACATTGGAAAATGCCCCAAGTCATTTCACAGGTATGTAATCAGACAGAACTAGAAATCTTATGATGGCTATCCATACGTCTTAGCAGAGGTTGGTTCTAAAGTAAGTACTAAAGGAGCATTGGGAATTGAAGAGGCAGAGTGTTTTTGAGAAGAAATTTCTGAACAGAGCCTAAACAACAGTCAATAGTGGGCTAAAGAGAGGAAAGGCATACTAGCATGTTTTGACCTGGAGATCGAAAGGGGTAAGACAATGAAAAGATAGAAACTTGTGGATGTGTGTTTTAAATGTGAGGTGTTGAGGAACTAGAATTTATTGTTAAGAGGGGGCACAAGGTTAGAAGCATCAGCGGTTTGATTGAGCTGAAAATTAGGAAGGGCTAGGGAGCATAAAGAACAGAAAGAAGACGACTGGAGTTTACAAGAGCATGAAAAAGAGTTCAGCAATACTTTGTCTGAGCCAGAAGCAAAAGCACTTGCTGTTAAAGGAGCATGTAATGGAGAGGACATAAAGTAAACTCAATGTTATATTATTAGTTCTTGGAGTATGAATATCGCTGGCAGGGTCCAAACTTACTGTGCACAACCATTTGCTCTTGAGAGAAGTTGTTGGTGAGTCATCTTCTTAAACTGCTGAAATCCTTGTTGTGTTATGTCAGGAAGGTAGTTCCAGGATTTGATCCAGTGCTGGTGAAGGAACAATGATATGAATGGTTATCCTGATTTAGAATTATAAGTTTGTTGACTGTGTCAAAAACCACATAGAGATCAATAGTGGTGATGATCCACCACAGTTTCAGAGATGCCAAATGTGATTTTGATTGTCCCAAGACTGATTTGGTTTCAATGTCAGAATTCTGTTTAGAGTAATTTAAGCATGAAGTTTTGGGAAAGACAGGCATGAACTCAGGGAGGCAATAATATATTCAGGGACTTGGGCAAGAAATGTAAATTAGATGTGAGGCAGTACTTTGGAGAAGTCAAATGGAGAAATCAAAGTGGATATCTTGAGGACCAAATGGTATTGACAGTTTTGAAAGCTGGAGATAGATTCTGAAGATTGTAAATGATGCACTATGTTGATTTGTGTGAGATCAGAACGAGAAGTTGGATGGTCAGCAGTTATGTTAATCAGATGGTGGGACTCCTCGTAAAGATTAGTTGGAAAGGCATGAGTGAAGATAGAAGAAAAACTAGAGAAAGATGTGGGTTAAGGTTAAGGGGGAGTTTGGAAGTTGTTGGCTCCATGGCCAAATTAAGGGACCACCAGGAGGCAGCAGCAGAGGCGGTTGAACAGTAGGCCTTAGTCACAAAGAATTGTATGAGATCCTCACATTTGTTGTTGCGGGATCGTATAGAATACCAGAGTAGAAAGCCTTACAGTGATGTTTTATAGTGGAGGGAGAAAAGTCTGTGTGTCATCTTTATTTTCCAGCATGTTTTGAGACTATTCAGTGACTTTGGCAGAGGAATTTCTTCTTGTGTTTAATGTGATGGTGCATAATTTGACAATGGATGACTGAGCGATACACATTCAGGCCTGTAACCCTTGAGCCCAGAAGGGAAATTCGGAGCATATCAGGGAAATGACAAGAACACATTGGAGTAATTGGCTGCAGAAGTGTTATGGTAAATTTGGGACCAAAGTCAAAACAGTTGGAATTTTGAAATAGCAGATATAATGTAATTTTGGGAGAGATTATCCTAAGATAAAATGCCAAGGGGAGTGGGTTGTGGATGGTGAGAGATGTAACATAATTATTTGATATTGCTTTGTCTGTGGAGGAAGCCATGGGAAAAAAGCGATCATGTGGCTTGTGTAGTAACCATGGTACAGTGAATGAGTAGAAGAGCTTTTATGCAGAGATCATTCGAGTGAAAAAGAAGGCAAGATGAATGAAGTTGAAAAACGAAAGCAAGGATGAAAAGTAGCTGAGGGTACCGTAAAGACCATATCATCTTATTTTTCTATATTTTTGATTGTGGACTGTATATGATTGAAGTTTTGACTGGCAATAAGTAGCAGGTTGATCTGTGGATTAGTGACCATTCATCAATGACAAAGGATGCCTATCTGCTAACAACTATGTAATTGACTTAAATTGCCTTTGGTTGAGTGCAGACAAACAGTTCAGCTCTGGACAGTGCCTCATGCTGGGTTAGTGCAGGGTCCAAGGTGAGGAGAATAGGAGGATGGGGAGAGGAGGAGGATAGTGTAGATGCTGCCATTGTGCTGGTTATACTCAGTCTGTGATTGTTAAATCACTGGACTGAGGGAGTTTTTGTTTTTAATAAAAATTAAACTGGGTTGGGGTTTTATAATATCACTGAACTGGTGGGGAAGTAGTTTATAAAATTACTGGGCAGGTAGGAGTTTTTATAAGCACTGGGCTGGGAGAGTGTTGTAAGATTATTGGGTTGGGGCATATATAAAAATACGAAGGGGTGGGCTGACATTGTGAAGCAAACCCTGAATCACCAATGTCCATGGGGAGGCCTTAGACAATATTGACCACTTCCTATCCCTCAGAAGTGTCCAGTCGGCCAAAGCAGCTGTTGATGAAGAGATCCAGCATCACCTCCAGTGTGCTAATGCAGCCTTCAACTGGCTGAGGAAAAGGGTCTTCAGGAACAACAACATCAGATCCGACACCAAGATCATGGCCTACAGACCTGTGGTGGTTCCTGCTGTCCTGTATGGTTCTGAGATGTGGTCTGTTTGCAACAGGCACCTGAAGGCACTAGATCAGTACAAACAATTCTGCCAACGCAAGATCCTGCGAATCCACTGGGAAGAAAGATGCGCCAACACCAGTATCCTTTACCGGGCTACTGTCCCCAACATCGAGGCACTGACCACCCTTCATCGGCTATGATGGTCTGGGCGTGTTGTCCACATGATCAACACGAGACTCCGCGAGCAGGTGCTCTACTCCCAGGTGGACAGAGAAAACGTATCAGCGATAGCCTCAAGGCCTCACTGGCAAAGTGCGGCTTTCCCACAGACACCTGGGAATCACTGGCCCAAGACCGTTCAAAGTGGAGGAGGAGCATCCGGGAAGGCGTCGACCACTTCGAGACTTGCCATCAGGTTAAAAATGGAAGCCAGGCAAAAACGGTGAAAGGAGCATGCTGCCACATCAACAGCCCTTTCCGTGACAACCACCTGCCCCAAGTGTCAGAGCCTGTGGTAGTCATAGAAGTCTGTACAGAAGTCTAGATTCACCCTGAGAGTGTAAGAGAATCATCCTTGCATGCGAGTTACTGGCGATTGATGTAATTGACTCCCAGCT